TCCTTCACCCTCTCCTGCCGTGCCACCACCCTGCGCACCACTCTCCTTTCGCGGTCTCCCCCTCTTTGCAGGCGTTGCATTCTTCTTGGCCCGCGCTGCCTTCCGCATCACACCTTCGTAAGTCTCCCTCCATACCCTCCAGCGCCACCACATGCGGGCATCCACCAGGACTTTTAGGACTTCAGGAGTGCACCCCTTCAAAGCTGCCCTATCCGCCGGTGTTAAAGCCACAGAGTTCCGAGTGCCCTTGCCTGGCCTCAGCACGTGGGCAGCTGCCGCGTAGCAAGTCGCTGCCTCCTCTATCGTGGTGTAAGCGCCGACTCTCTTCGTTACCTTCTTTCCGTCCTTGTCCTTGGCGACAACCTTCACCCCAAACTTGCCTGTATCGGCCTCCACATACACCCCGGTGTACTTGGTCGGCTTTGTTCCTGGCTCGGTCTCCCCCTCTCCGTCCTCGTCAGAATCCTCTCCTCCGGCCAAGGGCTCCTGCTTAGGCACAGCTGTGAAGCCGGGGTGTGCGCCCGCACCGCTCTGCGCCATCCCGTACACCGGATAGGATGGCTGGACTAGTGAAACCGCAGCTGCTTGCTGGCGTGACAACAGCCAGTGTGGAACCGTCCCGGGGATCGGCAGATGTGCCGGGAAGCAGGGGTACGCTCCAACGGCTGACGCGAACTTGCTGTCGAGCGACACTCTCGTGTTGGAGCCCATCATATCCTCGTCAGGGCTGTCGTTCAGCTGCTTCGTGTACCCTGACGGCCGTACTGGAGTGGTTGGGCCGTGCTTGCGCGGATCATTACCCCTCGCTCCCTGCACAGTGACGGCAGGTTGCTGCAGCATGTTTTCGCCGGCCGAGATCAACTGCTCCCTCGACATCCCAAGCACATGCCCAATTGCGGCGAATCCTGCAGTCATCGCACCGACCTCGCGCTTCAAGGAGCACACCTCCGCCTCGAGCTGGTCCACACGTTTTTGTTCTGTCTGTTGTCCATCCTCCGCACCCTCCCTCAAAGTCGTGTTGGTGGTGGTGCCGCTTTCCTGAGAAGGAACATCCAAGCCATCCTCCTCTAGCCTCCGGAGCAACTCCCCCATAGCGTGTGCGCATATATCAGCGCGCATGTTGCGGCGGTACTGCAGCGCGCTGACCCCTTTGAACCACAGGCCACTCTTCAAGTTGGCGAAGTCGGAGTAGACCAAAACTTTCAAGTAGTGGCAGATGAAGACTCCACACAGTCATTACCATTCTCTTGCTTGGGGATGTGGTTCTCCTGCGCGCAACGAAACCGCACACCAGGTAGTCATTTTCCACAAAGTTTTCTCAATTGCCGACCACCAAATAATCATGAAAAGTCGCACTTACCGTGAGGACATGACAGGGAACGTCCTTTAGCAGCTGCTCAAAATTCGCTGTGTCCACATGTGGATGCATCTCCTTGGCGAGGGTTGATAGCAACCTGCGGAACATCTCGGAGAAAACAACCCGTTTACCTCCACGACCGTGGTAATAACCACAATATTACAACTATTAAAGCAAACCCTTACAGCTTCACGCCACTGAAAACCTTCTGTGTACTCATGGGGGCCTTGGAGCTGTCGAACAACACCATTTCCAGCGGCGGTCTATCCTTCCTTGCCCTCTTATCCACCAGCCGGTGGGGTGATATGACTATCACCATTGAGTAGTGCTCTCTGCGGGGAGGCAAGCGGCAGGAAAGGACGGTGTTTAGTCCCGCCGATGAAGAATGCGTGCAATTTACGGCTCCTGATAAACAACTCAAACGGCTCGATAATTACCCCCTGTAGACAGGGACCGCAAGGCAGTCGTGCTCAAGGAGCGGCAGGTCGTTTCCAGCATTGACGGGAGTATTGTGCGCAGTGGTGTTCGCGAAATTGTTGCAATCGACAGCCGCCCATGTCTTCCCGTTTGACAGCCTCGGCACCCGGATGCTTAGAAGCCTGAAAGCACATGACGGACATGTAAGAATATTGGCGGAAACGGTGGGCATCAAATCATGCTGCCGCGAGTTACATCACCACAAAAAACAACGTGCAGGTAGCGCGTCGAAAGCGTTACTCACGAGTTGTGAAAGTCTATCACTCCGTCTGTCACCCATGTGTTGTCCGCGATGGAGGCGAGGTCTTTCTTGTCGACTGTGCTGACCACGCCCCTATGATTCTTTAGCTCCACGTTGCGATATTCGACTTTGTAATAATTCTTCTCCAACGCCGCCACCAAATCGTCGGGCTGAGGGAGTTCAGCAGGCGTGCTCACTGCACCGTCAAAGACTTCCATGGTCTTTCCTTTGTTATCCTCCACAGTCCGTCGTTGCCTTTTCTTGTTAGAGCCGGCGGTCTTTCCCTTACGCGTCCGTGTCGCACGTACTTCTCTTACTTCGGCCTTAGAGCAATCGCTCGATTCTTGGCTGCCAGAGTGCGCGTTTTTCGGAGCCATGGTCGGCGCGGGATGAGGTGAAGGAAGCGATTTCAAAATCAGGTGTTCTCGTACCCGGCCACGGTGGAAACAGTAAACTAAAACCAGTAGGGTTCTAGTGCGAACGAATTCGGGAAAGCGCAATAGGCTCTGGCAAGAAGGCAGCAAAAGTAGTCACAACATCCCCCGACGGATGACGGATCTCTAGTTAGGGTTACTCGAGGTTCAGCGCATCATGCATAGGTCACCGAGATGGTGATGTCAAAATGTTATTATTGTCTAGCCTGTAGTGGGGTGCTCTATAGCGAGTACAACCCAGTTAGGGTTTGCTATATGTACCCCAACTGCTGCTAGTGAAACCCCTCTCCTTTCAATCATTCTTGCCTAGTCTTTTTGACATGCTATCAGAGCAGGTCGACCCCCTTGGGTCGATCCTGTGGGTGGGCCCGCCACCTAACTGCTTCCGCTGCTATTCTGCTTCTCGCACGCCTCGGGCGCGCGCCGTCTTCTTCCTGCCGTGCGCTCAGGGCGTACGGCGGTTTTCTGCCCGCCGTGCGCCCCGAGGCGCGCGGCGGTTTCCTGCCCGTCGTGGCGCCCCCGGGGACCTGCGCGCTGCCCCCCGTCGTCCTCCTCCCGTCGCCTCGTCGCGGCGCCCTGGGGGCCCGCGCGTCCCCCCCCTCCCGTCGCCTCGTCGCGGCACCTTGGGGGCCCGCGCGCCGCCCCCTCCCGTCGCCTCGTCGCGGCGCCTAGGGGGCCCGCGCGCGGCCCCTCCCGTCGCCCGTCGAGCCGCCCTCGGGGGCCCGTGCGCGGCCCCCCTCCCGTCACCCGCCGTGGCGCCCTCGGGGGGCCCGCGCCCTGCTTCTTCGTGGCGCCCAAGAGCCACCCCGCTGCCTCCCTTTCCCTCCGTGCCCCGCCCCTGCTGTTTCCCGCGCTCCTGCCTGCGTTAGGGTTTGGGGGTGGCGGGCATGGGGGTGACCGGTGTGGGTAACCTGCGGCTCCTCCTCCTCCTCCGTCTCCCACTGCTGCAGCTGCCGCTGAGGGGGGTGGGTGTGTGGGAGCCGAGGGTTTAGGGTTTAAGGGGGGTGCCGTGGAAGTGGAGCTAGGGTGTCAGCAGGGGGTGTGTGAGAGGGGCGTGGGACGGTCGGGGGAGGTTGCGTGGAGGTAGCCGTCGTGACGCCAGCAGCGCCAGTAGTCCGGATGCCCTCGCGCGTTTCGGTAGCCCAGCGAGCCTGCTTCGCCAGTCGCCTGTGGGTCCGTTGCTCCTGTGTGTGCTCGTCGTAGCCGCGGAGCCAGATACTCCCGTAGTCCGGTGCCCTCGTGCGCTCGGTAGCCACTGTGCGCGCCGCTCCTGTTGCCCGTGTGTCTGCAGCTTCAGTCGGCGCCTTTCATCTTCTCGCCCTCACAGTTTCTCCTCCTCCTCACTTGCCCTCTATGATCACCTCTAGCTTTGCTTATAATTGTGAACTATTGCTATGCCTGCTCATTGTACTGATTACACCCCACTTTGGCTATGGGGGTGTGTCAAAATGTTATTATTGTCTAGCCTGTAGTGGGGTGCTCTATAGCGAGTACAACCCAGTTAGGGTTTGCTATATGTACCCCAACTGCTGCTAGTGAAACCCCTCTCCTTTCAATCATTCTTGCCTAGTCTTTTTGACAGGTGACAGCTGTGCGCCGCAGAATGGTCTAGAATAGCTGGATGATGCACGTCATTGCTTCGTAACCAGCATGACATCGAGAGGCTCCACATAATGGGGGTGCTTGTACGAGCGGTGTAAGATGATGCAATAAAAATTCGATTTGGTGTGTAGCGTTGATCAGTTTACTATTCTGTTGATCGGGCCACTTACATTAGTTTCGGCTTGTGCTGAGCGAAACTGGTACAACGTTGTACAAACGCGTACATTTGGTTCGGCGTGTAAGGTATGAGTTTGGCACTTCCGAGCACGATTTTCGTGTACACCGCTTTGGCCAAAATGTAGACTCTGGGCCAACTGGCACGTGTAGCAGTGATCAAACAGTGCCGGATGGGAAAGCCTCTGTGGACGCGCACCTTACGTGGATGCACGTGCACATATACGCGTCATGTACAGTCCCGTGTCTCTGGGTAATACCGACATCGGTTGAAGTTTCGATATACTAGTGCTTATATTGGGGTGTTAGTGTCTGCTCTTGTTTAGACGCGAATGTGTGATAGAACAATAATTCGGATATTCCTGGGCTGTTTTTGCACCACATTTGTGTGGTTCTAAGGTCCAGACTTAGAAACATATCATTTATGTTGTCAGTGTTATTTTTGAACATCAAAGTGTACTCCTTATTACAGGTCCTATTTGTGCAAACGAAGCACACACGACTCAAAGGTTGACGCTCACAGTTGTGGCGGGTTTGAAAACTGACTACCTCCACCATTGTTGGTGGTCGGATTAGGGTTTGTAGATAGTCCGAGATGACGGGAAACAAGTGCGGCGTATGCGGTAAGGATTTTCCTAGCGACCGTGATTTACAGTCTCATCTTTCAGACCGAACGAAATGCGGGGACTCGCTGAAGAGAAATCTCGAGCATCTTATGTTTGATGCTTATCTGGAAGCGCTAAACAGTGTTGAGCAAAAACGCCAACGCAGCCCTGCGACGTCTGGGGCCAAAACCAGTGGGGTACCTACGAACTTGCCGCCAGAGGGCTCACCGCCGCAGGCGACGGAGGCAGATCATGAGGCGGACGATGGCGACTCTGGCGGCTCTTCTTGTTCGGAGGCCAGCGACGTCTCCGACTTCTTCGACACGCTCACGGAGCTGTACCTGTTTTTCCGTGACGCGGACTTATCACGCCGTGAAGTCAACAGACTGCTTAACATATTCCGTAGCCCTCTGTTCAGTTTGAAGGAATTACGTAAGTGGCGCAACTACGCTGACGTGAAGCGATGGGGGAAGGAGCGTGCGCCGCCAGATATGGTTCCATGGAAAACAGAGCATATCGTCGTGCACGGGCCCAGAGGAATGTCCCAAAAGCTTCTCTTGCACTTCCGCGACACAGAGCTGGTGAGCTTGGCGTCATGTGCGTACCGCCCATATTCCGCTTCAGCGTTAAGAGATGGCATGAAACGTGGCTATCTATATATGTATGGCCGCTTGATTGTTATGGGCATGTTCTGGTGCGCAGCTTGTGAAGAAGCTAGTCCGCATTTTTTCGCGGAGGAAGGGTTTCGTGTGGAAGCCACAGGAGAAGTACAACGAGAAGGGGAAGCGCGTTTTCGAGGGGCCAGAAACAGGCACGTGGATGCACGAGGCGCAGGTGCGTTGCCAGGCTGCAAGAGTCGTGTCCGATGTAGGGCGTGCTACTTTAACTACCACCTCTGTGTGTGCGTGTGGCAGAAAGAGATCAAGGACGACAAGGCTCTGATTCTCGGGGTCATCGTGTACAGCGACAGCACTCAGGCGTCGCGCAACGGGCGGCGGAATGCGTGGCCTGTCCTGATTTCGCTTATTAACATACCGGAGGAATTGAGGTGGTTTGAGCCGGGCCACACTCTTACGGCGGTGTTGCCCTTTTGCCCGGAATGGGCTAGCCCGACAGAGAAGGCCCGTGTTTTCCAGGAGGCGCTGAAGATCATACTTGGACCCTTGATGCGGGAAACCGCAAGGTACGTTTGGCGGCAGTTCTGTTAGTTCTGCTCGTGTTTTACGCGTTGCCTGTGATGTATTTGTGATCCGTTCCTTATTAGAAACCCCTTTCTGTATCCAGTGCTCCTGTGAGGTACTTTTATGTGACAGACGCTACAGGCAACGTGGTCAAGGCGGTACCTTGCCTCTATGGGTACCCTGGTGACTATCCAGAGAACAGTAGGGCTTCAGCAACGCTGCAGACGGGCACACATCGCCCGTGCGCTAACTGCTATGCAGAAGTGGGAGACCTGACACGGCTGACAGCCAAAATGGATCCCCGCACACCGGAGAGGCAGAAGGACATTGTGCGACAATTTTTTGCGTTTGCCAAAAAGGAGGACGCCCGTAAATACATGAGCCAGTGGTCAACCCATCCGATAGAGGTATGTTGCAGTTTGCCATTGTGCCGTGGAAACATTCGTTGGAATAGTGCCGACACATAACATATGGGGTCGAGACGTGCTTCCTTTTGGGCGCAGTGCGTGCTGGCGCGTTGGAACTTTGGGGACACCACCTGGGGGAACGTCTACCTCGCATGTCTTGCTGACATATTACACGTGTTGGACTCTGGTGTCTTTGTACAGATGATGGACGAATACCTCTCCCCCCTGGGGAAAGTCGAGATCCGCATCCTGGAGAGGTGAGCCGTGTAGATACCCGGTGTGCTATTTCGTGGTGGACAGAGCGATGTCAGTTGCCTTGAAATATGGTCTTTGTGTTTGGGCGTGATGCGGCTGTGGCTCGTTGGTCCACATTGCGTGGCAGGCGGAAGAAAGATTTGAAAAGCGACACGCCAAGTGTGTTGCTAAGGATTCCTGGGGGCTCATCATTCTTCCTTTCTGGTGCCCACTATGCGGCGTTCGAACATCGTGCCATGATGCAAATCATGCCGATCATCATAGCGGACTCTAGTGCATTGAAGAGGGGAAAGGCGGGAGAGTTGAGGGTGTTGCAGGTTAGAGCCTTCCGTTTTTACGCCATGTTCTACAAGGCGTTTTTGGAAGTGGCGGCGCACACCCACGACACGCTGAGAGCGGCGAGGCAACATGTTGTCGCGTAAGTACGGTGGTTGGACACGTGTGTTGTGTGCACACCTTTTGCAGTTTGTACCGTGTGCTATGCAGTCTGCTGGTAGAACCTAAGTGCTGAACAACACTTTTCTTTGCAGGTTGATGGAGCTGCTTCCTCGCGCTTTCCCGGACCAGGCGTCAAAGTGGGAACTTCCCAAGATCCACATGATAAAGCATCTTCTCGAGAACGTGGAAGCAAGGGGGATGCCACACCACTACAGCACGGAGATGTGGGAGCGCACTCACAAGGGGACAGTGAAGGGTCCCGTTAGGGGGAGCAACTGGGCCGACATTCCAAGGAGAATTGTGGATGAGGAGATGCAGCGGGAGATTTACAGAGAAGTGGCGGCAGATGTGGGAGGAGGTCGGCAGTATGTGTCAGCGCTGCGTGTGGTGAGCGGTAGGGTGCTAGCAGGACTAGGGGAAGTGCGCTGGGCGACTCACGACCTGTATTAGGTGGGCCTGTGTTATGCATTCTCATACAATACATGCTACCTCGCTGGTTGTTGCGTGCGGCAGGCCGTGGAAGAGATGGAGCCAGTGCTGATGAAGAAGTACAGGGTCATGCGCCTCGGAGGCACCGCGGACAAGGTGTTTGCCGAGTACGCAGCGGTATTTGGGGATCAGATGGCGGGCCTACCAGGTCAGCTGAGGCAGATGCAGATGGCGTGTGGCAGTGTGCAGGTAATTGAGCTTATGGTGTGCGGATTCGTAGGTGTGGTGCGCTGAATGTGTAACATTGCCTGACATTGTTGAATTGTGTGCCATGCTTGCCTTCTATTGCAGACACACACAGCAGTGGCCATACCACGGACACAGGGTGGTGTGCTTGTGGCGAAGGGGACGTTCGTAAAGGCATCCCCGCGAGAGAAGCTGTTCTCAGATGTGGCACTCTTGGCTCCTGAAGGCGGAGATTGGTTTGCTAGATGCCTCTGTATTTTCAAGGCATTGAACGCGGAGGGCAAGTGGACTGGGTGTGCCTACGTGAGGTACTACGAAGCAGCAGGCCAGTGTCCCATCACAACGTGCACCCAGTTGTACCCAGCTCGAGAGAATGTCCGGTTCGCAGTGGTGCTGTTGAAGAGACTACAGAGGGTTGTCCACGTATGCCCATCTTACAGCAACCCTCGTGTGCTGCTGGTGAACAAGTTTCTACTCTGCGAGTAATTGGAGTAGGGGTTTGTGTCTGGAACTGAGGGATCGTGATTTTGTAACACTTACAGAAGGGGGGAATTGTGGGTAAGTGACGTTGCGGGGTGGATGGGTACCTGGTTAACGGAAGGAGAGTGTGCAACAGAACAGTCGGCCGGTGGGAAATGCTTTGATTTGTTGTGCATGTGTAGTGGGAGTGGGGGAATTTGTAAATGCTTGGCATACTGGAAGTTTGGTGGGTGGTGGTCGGTTTGTGGTAATGTTTGTAACGGATTTGGTTTTTAAGGTGTTTTTTTCCGGAGTACTGGTGTGCGGAGTTCTTTTTGTGGTTGTAATGCAGGGACACGGTTGTTACGGAGTTGAATGGGATATGTGGCTTGGGCTATTGGTTCGATGTTCAGATTTCTAGTGTGTGTGACTGGCAGGTGCGCAGTGTGTGACGTGTACAACATCCGATGTTGCCATTTTGGGCCAATGGGAACTGCGCACTTGTGTACATGGCAATCAGTGGACAGAGTGCATTTGGACGCGATTCGGTGTTTGCTGCAGGTGTGGAGCGCCTAAAAGGCAGCACATCTGGTGGGGGAGCGTACGGTTTGGGCTTGAGGTGGCTTAATTTGGGGGGGTTCGCCATTTCATCTCTAGCTACCCACACTTCGTAGAGGGTTTGCTGGTGGCCAGTATGAGCTCGGTGAAGCCCCCGTTGAAGGACATCGTACAGAAGCTGAAAGTGCTCCCCGACGATGTGTTTCTGTTTGTGGAGATACCGTTTATGCCCAGCCGGTTGCCGAAGACCAAGATACCGGGGAGGAACGGAACCCCGTGCGACCGGATCATAAGTGTGGGCTTCCTATACAACGCGACGGGGACCTGCACCACGGTGCCCCTTGTGGTGTTGCGCCATGACGAGCGCCCCGAACCTAGGCGCAGCGGGGAGCCAGCACCGGCGGTGATTGTGCGCTACACGAAGAGTGGTCGGCTCACACCCGAGGTATGTTGGTAGATTTCGAGTCGCGACGTTGCCGCTTATTGGTACAATGTTGTGGCGGCATGTCGATCGTGTTCTTGTATGATACCCTAATCAAGCGCACGCGCTGTCGGGGCTTGGCGGTGCGCAGGTGTTTACCGAGTTTTTTCAGACGGTTGATGGGGTGCAGCTTAGCCGTGGAAGGAAGACGGTTGTGTTCACCTACAACACGGCGCACCGCATTACCGCGAATGACGCGGAGACCACGGTGGAGCATGGGCTGACTATGGTGCATTTCACGCACACACGCTTTGTGGACCTCACGGACATTGTGCACTGGTCCAGTATGCCGTTTTTGCACGGCGTGGTGGACGCTTTCAAGGCTGAGTATCGTGTGATACTGATGAGACGCGCGGTGCGATCGAATCTATTCCACGATGATTTCGAAGCGCCGTTTTCCGTGGTGAATTACAGTGTCATGCTGCTGTGGGTGGGCTTGGCGTGGAAGGCGCTGACGGCGGCAACGATGCAAAGGAGCTGGTGGAGGGCGGGATGCGTCCCGGAGTCATGGTGGGAGCTGATGTGGCACCTGCACGGCATGTACTCGGCAGGCATGTACGATCCGCTGGTCTCTACCACGGCGGACCTCCTGGTGCTGCTACGTGAGTTCCGTGTGCGGCCAGCTAGTTATATGCCGGCGTCCAATTACGTGACCTGCGATGAGTGGTTAATGGAGAAGGCTGGTGTGAAGTTGGTGACGCCCACTACGCCCATGTCTTCAGGGGACGAGGGCGAGATGTGCCTGCCGGATGGGCCTCTGATGCGTGACGAACGAAGCCGACGACGTGCCATCCGCAATGTGACGAACGCGTACGTGTGTCACGCGGAGGCGCTGGGGATTGCTCCTGCGGAGGTGGCGAATGTTGTTGGCGCCTCTGATGGAGAGGTGGTTAGCCGCCTAAGCCGCACACCGAAGAAGCGTGCGCGCAGTTCGGGGTCGTCGGACAGTGGGTCCGTGTAGTGCGCAAGGCCTTGATGCTGTAGTGGGTGGGGGGGGAGGGGGGGGGTGGGGTTCATGGGTCGAAGGGTGGGCTCATGTTTGTAGTTGTGGTTGCTGGTTGACGCTAGATTAGGTGTGGTTATGTGTGCTGTTGTACTTTGTATTTCTGAATGCTGGAGATGTACACGAATGACACAGTTTTCACATTATGTAGTAGACGGTGTGCTGAGCATTGTCGTTGGATTTGTTTAGTGAATACGGTTTTCGGAGTAGGTGTGCATGTTTCGGTTCTACGGTCTCTGTAGCGTGGGTGGGGCGACACGACAATACCGAGTATGTTTAGCGTTTTTGGCCCGAGCCGCATGTGTTCGAGGCGCATTCAAGGAGGCGGCGCGGATAATTGCGCAGGTGATGGCAAAGTGACATTTTGGTGGCGGTAATGTTCTGGTCGAGTGTGCGGTTATTGATCGCGCCAATGTTGCGTTTTACGGTCCTTGTTTTTTCGACACATGTCGCAACAATCACGCAAGCCCCACGCAGAAAAACCTTCGGCCACCCAAAAACACAATTTCCCTTTTCCGCGATGGATCTTATGCCGCGTTTCTGTCCTTCTCCTCCCATCATGATCGTGCGACCCTCCGCGCGTCGCTCAAGCGTCGCATGCTACAAATGGGAAAGGCGGTGCCGTTGGTGCAATCGAGCGGGAGGGGCGAGTGGAGGTGGGATGGGGAGGGGCGGAGAGCGGGGAACGCGGGGTAAATGTCAAGAGGGCAACAGTGGCCGGGAGAGACGATCAGCGATCGACCACTGACGCGCGACGAACAACGAGCGATGAGCGTGCGACAACAAGACCTTAGCGACGAGGAGCAAATGATGTGCGTGTGCCAACTAGACCTCATAAAGTAGACATGCGAGACAAGCGTATGGTGGGAATTCGGAAAATGAGATTCGTGGTGTAATTGGAATGAAACGTTTGATAAAGGTTTGTCTGTAACAACTAGCCTTGGCTCCCGCTGGCGAGACAAGCGTATGGTGGGAATTCGGAAAATGAGATTCGTGCTTTGTCTGTAACAACTAGCCTTGGCTCCCCCTGGCGAAACAGAACCCGAGGGTCAGTCAATGCTCGTGAATCCAAGGGTTACATTTCGCACGAATTCGGCACTGCCAAAAACTCGCCAGTTTCGCATCCTGCCACAGCAGCTTTTCCAGTGACCTTCTTGGGCAGGCCGGCTTGGCTCGAATCTCCAGGTTTGTATCATTGGCTCGGCTAGACCGAAAACTATCATCCCGAAGCCTGAACGGATTTATGACACCCATAGACATTCAGAAACTGAATGCGCTTCGCCGACGCATTCAGCGAAGGGGTTTCTATGCCCGTAACGGCACATGCTGCTCGTCAATCTCTCCTCTCGCTCCGCGTGCTTCCCGCGTGCTCAAACTATCCTCACACTGTCCTCCCGTCACTCACCGCTCTTCCGCGCCCGCACTCCACGGTCCCGCGCGTCGCGTCCGTCCGTCGCGCCACCGCTACTGGCACGCGCGCACTGACCCCGCGTAGCGCGCTCTAGCCTCCCCCGCTGCAGCTCCGACCTACTTCTTTCGCGGGGCCCGCACACAGCGGCTCTCACCTCGTCACACGCAGCTGCTCTCGCGTCGTCGCACGCAGCTGCTCTCGCGTCGTCGCACGCAGCTGCTCTCGCGTCGTCGCACGCAGCTGCTCTCGCGTCGTCGCACGCAGCTGCTCTCGCGTCGCACATAGGTCGTCGGGGTCGGTCACAAGAGTTATCCCACCACCCAGCATACCTCACCACCCAGCATACCTCACCACCCAGCATACCTCACCACCCAGCATACCTCACCAGCTATCCACGTCACCACCCATTCTCATCATCAACCATCCACGCCGCCAGTCATCACATTCGCGTCCGCGTTTGCGTTCTAGGCGCCTCGTTAAAGCGGCCAGATGGACGAGTCTGACGTGTCATGGGAGGAGTTTTTTGCCACGTCACCACCTCTCGCAGAAGCTGACGTCATAAAGGAACAGCTGTCGGCTTTCATTGTACGCCACGCGGTCATGAGCATTATGAGCATCCCCATGCGGCCTGCCATGCCCATGCGGCCTGCCATGCCTCCCCCCCAGTTACTGCACCTCTCCTGCTTCTCTGCGCCCATTAACGTCACTGCGCAACAGCCACCCATCCAATCCACTCCTCACCCTCTCACCACTCCCACATCCCCATGCAACCGCGCGCCTCCCCCCCCCCCCCCCGTGCCCCTCCATCCTCCATTTTCCCTCGCTACCTTGCCTTCCACCATCGCTCTGTCTCCCCTCGCCGCTCTTTCAGTGCAGCTGCCATGTCGAGCATGGCATGGGCAGCTCTTTCTTCTCTTTCTCGCCTATCCCCCACCCCCCTCTCCCCCCCCACTCGCCACGCCCCCCTGCAGCAAGTGTCACAGCAGCGTGGGGGCTCACCCTCCCGGGTGTTGTGTGTGACATCAGGCGGCACGACAGTGCCCTTGGACCCTTGGAACGCCGCTGTGTGCGCTTCATTGACAACTTCACCACCCTCCCCACCTTCGTCCCTTCCCTCCCCTCCTTGCAGCAAGCGTCGCAGCAGCCTGGTGGGGCATCCCTAGTCGTGTGTGTGACCTCAGGCGGCACGACAGTACCATTGGAGCGGCGCTGTGTTCGCTTCATTGACAACTTCAGTGCCGGCAATCGCGGGGCCGCCTCCTGCGAGTGAGAGTTTGGGATGGGGTGCACGAGCTCCCCTTCATTGGCTCCTCCCTTTGCTGTGCTGCGTCCTGCCAGCCTGTGCCGGGTGCAACGGCAGTTTCCGTTCTCAACTCGACACTCTGCCAGATCTCGTCTTGCTCGTGCATTTTCCCCTCCATCTCTTGCCTTTCGGAAATTGTGTTTGCCCCTCTGTGCGTTTCCGCTACTCAGCTCTTTTCCATTCCACATCACCTACCACACTCAGACATTTCCCCCTTATCCTCTCCACCGCTCCCAACCACTCCCCATCCATGTGCATGCATACGTGGCGACCGTTCCCCTGCGTGCAGGCACTTCCTGGCGCAGGGCTACTCCGTCATCTTCCTGCACAGACGGTACGCTGCCCACTCCTGTGCTGTGTTGGTGTGTGCTTGCGCGCGCGCGCGTGCGTGCGTGTGTGTGTGTGTGTGTGTGTGTGCGTGTGTGCGTGTGTGTGTGCGCATGTGTTTACGTGTGCGTGCATGCGTGTGTGTGTGCGCTGAGCCCAGCGCTCGCTGCAAGCACGCATTCGTACCACACTGCTGTGGCCTCCATGCGTCCTTTCTGCCGCGGCCTCCCAGAGTCCCGCCGCCGTACTGGGTCCTTCGCCTTCTCCTTTTAATCTTCCTCCTCTTCTCTACTCCTCCACACCTTTCCCCGCCCTCCACCTTGCCAGGGGCTCCATGCGTCCCTTCTGCCGCGGCCTGCCAGAGTCCCCTCTCCTCACGTGCCTGCGAGCCGTGCCCTGTGCTGCCACCCCCCGGGGTGAAGGCCAGGGTAGTGCTGCCCAGTGCGAGCAGCAGGAGGAGGGGCAAGGCGAGGGCAGCGGGCGCGGGGAGGAGGGAGTGAGCCGAGAAAAGGGAAGCAGTGGGGAGGGGAGTGCCAGTGCGGCACAGAGCAGTGTCACTGGCTCGGGAATGCACCTTGAAGGTGACTTCAGCTGAATGGCATGTGGTGGGGTGCGGTGCGGTGCTGTTGGGTGCCATGCTGTGTCGTTGCTTGCTGCCAGTTTAGAAACAAATTGCGAAGGAAAAACGCCACTCGCCGCCTCGTACCATGCATCTCATTCCGTAGCCACCACGATTCCTGCCCCCACATCTCCTCCTCCCTCACTTCATTTCAACCCTTGAACCGCTTCTCAGTCTCTGTCTCCCGCCACCTGTCCTGCCCCCACATCCCTTGACATTCTCCCGTCCCCCCCCTGCGTTCACTGCGCGTGACAGCCATTTCGCCGTACAGGGATGCCGTGCATCGAGCCGTGTTCATGTTCAACCAGGTGCGCCAACAGCCACATGGCATGCAAGCACATAGCTTCTCCCCCATGGCCCATTTGTTCACCTCTGCTGTTGTTGTTGTAAGTCTGGCTGAGACTTGCTGACCCGTGCTTGTGTGACCCGTGCTTGTGTGACCCTCTTGCATTGCATGGGGCCTTTTGGTCGCCTCCAGACACCCCTCGACCTCTGCAAGCTCTGCTCATTTACTCCTTATCCCACCGTCTCTGTGAACCACGCACCACCGCTCAACGCCATGCAGGCACAGGAAGGAGGGCGGCTGCTGCTGCTGCCGTTCACCACGCTCTTCCAGTACCTGCAGGTGAGCTGCTCTTCCAGTACCTGCAGGTGAGCCGCTCTTCCAGTACCTGCAGGTGAGCCGCTCTTCCAGTACCTGCAGGTGAGCCGCTCTTCCAGTACCTGCAGGTGAGCCGCTCTTCCAGTACCTGCAGGTGAGGAATGTACACGCTCTTCCAAAGGGTGCCACTACCAGGACTGCGACCTGCGCGTACCATCCACCCTCCATCTCGCGTCTCACCTCCTCGCTCATCTCGCGTCTCACCTCCCCTCTCATCTCGCCTTTTATTTTCCACCTTCTCGCTTTCCATCTTCCGTCTCTCTCCCCTCCCCAGCTGCTTCGCCTGGTGGCAGAAGCCTTGAACCCCATTGGTCCACGTGGCATGGTCTACCTGGCAGCTGCCGTGTCCGACTTCTTTGTCCCGTGGCCTTCCATGGTACGTCTGTTTGTTGTGCCATGTCATGCCGTGTCTTGCCCCAGCATTCCATGCTATTCCCTCCCTGAAGTCATCATGCATGTCGCAACCATGCCATGCCCTGCCCTCCATGTTATGCCATGCCATACCCCGTGCCACCCATCGTCCCCTGATTTGGCCTGGCTTTCCATTGTTTCACCAGCTCCACACATTTTCTAACTATATGCTCCTTCCTCGCCGCACTCCGCCTCACCTCACGCCCACCTGTCACACACTTGCACCGTTAGCGCATGGCAAGAGTGTGACACTGCAGCACAGCGCATGGCAAGAGTGTGACGCTGCAGCACAGCGCATGGCAAGAGTGTGACGCTGCAGCACAGCGCATGGCAAGAGTGTGACGCTGCAGCACAGCGCATGGCAAGAGTGTGACGCTGCAGCACAGCGCATGGCAAGAGTGTGACGCTGCAGCACAGCGCATGCTGCAAGGACCCCTTCCCCACCCCTTCCCCAGCTGCAGCACAAGTTCAAGTTGGGGGGGGAGCCTGCCGGACATTGTTTGTTCCTGCTTCACTGCACATCTCTCTTTCCCACTCGTCTCGTCACTGCCCACGCCCTCCCACCTGCTGCTTTCCTCCCCGCAACACTCACCGTGCTGCCAGGTGGAGCATAAGATCCAGTCGGGTGCAGGCCCACTGGACATCCATCTGGCGCGGGTGCCCAAGATGATTCCCCTCCTGCGCTCCCTCTGGTGCCCTCAAGCCCTCCTCGTCTCCTTCAAGGTCCGTCTCTCCTTCCCTCTCGCCTCTCCTCCCCTCTCGCCTCTCCACCCCTCTCGCCTCCCCACTCTTTGCTTCCGCTGCCCTGCCTCCCTCTCGGTTAGAACTATATGTATTAGCATGCTAACACTTGTGACTGTACACCAATTGTGGTGTACAGTTGGGTTGGGACTACACCCAACTTTGGGTGTAGTCTTGCATTGTGGGGTGCCAATCCACCCAATTGTGGTGGAGCCCCCAAATGCAACCCATTTGGCCTTAGGTTGCCTCACTTCCCACAAGTGAGGCCAACCCAACCCAACTGGGCCTTAGGTCACCTCACTTCCCAAAGTGAAGCCAACCCAACCCAACTGGGCCTTAGGTCACCTCACTTCCCAAAGTAAAGCCAACCCAACCCAACTGGGCCTTAGGTCACCTCACTTCCCCAAGTGAGGCCAACCCAACCCAACTGGGCCTTAGGTTGCCTCACTTCCCAAAGTGAAGCCAACCCAACCCAACTGGGCCTTAGGTCACCTCACTTCCCAAAGTGAAGCCAACCCAACCCAACTGGGCCTTAGGTCACCTCACTTCCCCAAGTGAGGCCAACCCAACCTATTGTCAACCCAACCTTTCCCTTTCAAGCTTCTCATCCAACCTATGCATGCTTGTTCCTCCTCTAATCAACTTATTGGTTGAACTTTAAGCTTTCACACTCTCTCGTGCCACATTGGATTGCAGCTCGCTTATTGTGTGTGCATGCGCTGTTTATGATCCCCCCCCTTTTCCCCTCCTAGCCCATTGCCATTTGGGGACGGACAGCAGCATCCTAACAACCCCACCACACCCTCCCCAACCTCCTCGCCCCACCCCCTCCTCCCCCACCTGCCAGCTGGAGACGGACAGCAGCATTCTGCTCAGCAAGGCGCGCGCAGCCCTGAAGAAGAACCACGTGCATGCGGTGGTGGCCAATGAGCTGCTGACACGTGGCAGCAAGGTGGTGCTGGTGACAGAAGACAGGGAGGAGGTGATAGAGCGAGGAGAGGGGGGCGCGGGGAGGGAGGGGGGGGTAGGGGGGAAGGGGGCGGTGGGGGATGTGGAGGAGCCGTTGGTGAGGCTGCTGGCTGCCATGCACCACAAGCACTGCCAGGGGGGCTGATGGCTTGGGGGCTTGAGTCTCTGAGGCCTTTGTGGCTTTGAGGCGCCTGTTATGGCAAGCAGTTGTGGAGGCAGGTGACTGGGAAGAGGGAGGAGGTGAAAGCGCGGGGCGTGGGGGTTGTGGTGTGGGAGTGGGGAGGGCACGACGAATGGGCAGTGGGGGACGTGGAGGAGCCATTGGTGAGGCTGCTGGCGGCCATGCACCAGAAGCACTGCCGAGGGGGCTGACGCTTTGCGGCTTTGAGTCTCTGACTGTTTGAGGTGCCTGTGGTAGCAAGCAGCTGTTGGCGCAGGTGATGGGAGAAGAGGAGGAGGTGATAGAGTGGCTGAAGGCGGGATGGGTGCAAGGGGGGAGTGTGGGGCGTGGAGGGTGCTGGTGAAGCTGGTAACTGCCATGCATGTGAGCACTGTCAGGGGGCTTATGCTTTGTCACCTTGTGTCACCTTCGGTCACTGAGGCCACCGTATGTATGTGGCTTTCATGCGGTAAGGAGGCGCCCGTAGCAGCATGCACGAGTGGCTGGTACGGTAGATCAGTGCATGAAGCTTTCTCTCCAGCTGCAACCGTTGAAGCTACCTACCCATGCACAGCAAGCTGGGTTTTTTTTTTTGCCCGTTGGGTTTTGAGGCGCCCTAAAGACCATGCAAGGCATAGCATGAGGGTTTGTACCTCCAGCTGGTAAATAGTGCATTACTGTGTGCCAAAGCTGGCCTCTCATCTCTGCTTGCTTGCACTGCAGGATAGGGTGTGCAGTTGCCAACTGACTGCATTTGCAATAAGCGAATTTACAGTTGCTAATGCCAGTACCATGTTTCTACACAGAGCGCTATGTGTAGGTGGTACCCAACCCAACAAGTTTACTGATATTTAAAGGAGCACTACTGATACACACTCTTGTACCAACACAGCCTGAATATTTGGCTGGCCTATCAACTGGGCACAGCAAGCTCTGCTGGCAATCAGTCCACCAACCGGCAAAACATGTCTCCAGCACAATGGAAGCTAGCTACTGTATGCAAGACAAGCGACGCAAGACATGTCTTCCCCCAACCCCCCCTAGTCCCGAAATGGCAGGCAGTAAGGCAACTTGTACCGTAAAGTGCCACCTATAGGACCCGGGGGACTCTCTACAAATGCTTGAAAAAGTGCTAGGGGGACCCTCTGGCGGATGCAAAATTTTAAGACCCGGGGTACACTTATTTATCAACTATCATTCTGTTCTTTAGGGTGTACGGCTTAATTCGGGGCGGGGGGGTCTTATATTTATAACGAAAAACGGCATTCGAGGGCGGATTTCGCGCGAGCGGCGCGTCAGATCTGTGTCAGAATTCGAGTCTGACACAAACAAAGTGTCAGAATTCGAGTCTGACACAAAAAATCGTGTCAGAATTCAAGTTTCTGTCAATAAAAGCTGACTCACAATAGCAATTACAACTACTGTATACAGGAAAGGGGGGTCTTATGATGATTAGGGGCAGAAAGGGGGTCCTCACAAATCCTGCCCAAATAAGAGTCCCTCTGCTCCTTCAAGAGTCCCGGGGACCCTCTTACCGGCGGGTCCTATAGGTGGCACTTTACGGTAGTCTGACTGTGGGGAGGTATGTTATAAATGCGAGGCATGGAAGGGAGGAATGGGAGAGAGGGATGGTAGGGAGTCATTTGCCACGTGTGTGGTCGTTGAATGGCAGTCAGTAGGGCGGCTTGTAGCCTTGCTGTGGGGGAGGGGTATACGCGCCTGACTGGGACAAATAACCACCCTGCTGTGTGGGAGAACCGGCGTGCTGTGGGGGGTAACCGCCAGGTTGAGAGGAGTAACCACCCTGCTGTGGAGGGTAACCACCCTGTTGGTTTGGCTGTGGGGGATAACCACCCTGTTGAGAAGAGTAACCACCCTGCTGAGGAGGGGGGAAACCACCTTGCTGCCCATACCCCCCTTGAGGAGGCGGCGGATACCCACCCTCTTGCGACGAGAACTGGTCCGGTGCAGGAGGGGCGGAGGGTGCAGGGGGGGCGGAGGGGGCGGTGGGATAGCTGGAAGGGGGGGCGCCAGGGTACGGCTGCTGCTGCTGCTGCTGGTAGTAAGGGGGCGGTTGCTGCTGGGAATATGGTGGTGGCTGCTGCTGTTGCTGGTACCCCATGGCCATGCCCGCAGCGGCAGCAGCATCCATCTCGAGCACTCGTGGTGGGGGAGGCAGTGGCGGGGTGGGTGGCATGCGGCCTATGCGCTTGCTGCTTACAGCACATTGGGGGGGAGGAAGGGAGAGGGGGTGGAAAGGGGGATGACAAGGAGAAGAGATGGGGATGAGGGAGAAGAGATGGGGATGAGGGAGAAGAGATGGGGATGAGGGAGAAGAGATGGGGATGAGGGAGAAGAGATGGGGATGAGGGAGAAGAGATGGGGATGAGGGCGAAGTGATGCCTTGGAGGAAAAAACTCACAACAAAATTGACAGCTACTTTACGTGAATGCAAGGAGGAAAAAACCCACCCTTTTACAATAACCCCTATACACCCCTGTATCACCTATCCTCATCCCAAAACACTCTTCACTCACCCCTCCCCCACTCGCCCCAACACACACCGCACTCAACCAAAAAGACCCATCTTGTTGCCCCTAGCGTTCCACTCACCCCAGATTGCCCCACACACCCCAGAGTGCCCCACTCACCCCAGAGTGCCCCACTCACCCCAGAGTGCCCCACTCACCCCAGAGTGCCCCACTCACCCCATCTCGCACCCCACACACTCCAGAGTGCCCATCTCGCTGCACGCCTTGAACTGCAGCGGCGCCTCCATCGGCGCACTCAGTGCAAAGCACAGCAAACACCCTTCCATACCTCCCCCACTCACCCCAACACACCCATCTTGCTGCCCTCACCCTCCTCCTTCAACCCACCCCTCCTCCACTCACCCCAGCGTGCCCATCTCGCTGCACGCCTTGAACTGCAGCGGCACCTCCATCAGCGCACTCAGAGCAAAGCGCACCGCCTTCTGCTCGTGTGGGCCCGGCGCTGCCAGGATCTGCGAACAGTCCACGAACTGGGTGCACGGAGAGGGGGCGGGGTGGGGGAGTGGTGGGGCAAGGCAAGTTGATTCTGAAAATTGTCCTCTGGGGAAGGAGAGGGAGGCAGGGGGGTGCATGTGGGGGTTTGGAGAGGGAAAAGAGGAATCGAGTTGTGGGCCATCTCACAACTCCATGATCCGTAGCTAGGGCATGAAATGAGGGGGTGGTTGGGGCGAGTGAGGGGAGGGGGGGGTTTGGGTGGGGTGGGGGCGATTGAGGTGATTTTGAGAGTTCTTTGCTGTGCCAGGATCCACAAACTTGGGTGCAACGGAGGGTGCGGTACAGGGGAAAGGTAGGGGCGGATTGGGCAGGGGAGTTTGAAACAAGGGCAAGGACAGTGGGACATGGGGCGCGAGAGGGTGGAGTATGGAAGGGATGAAAGTGAGGTGCATGGGAAGGAAGATGGGGGCGCAGCAAGTGCGGTGGGCAGAAGGCGGACCTGCAACTAGTCCAAGTTTGTGTTGCCACGGCCCGTCATCGAAGCTCTTCATCACGTCCCATGGGTGAGAGAGGTATGGGGAGAGACACGAAGCGACAAGCAAGGCGGCACCTGGAAGTTGTCGAAGTTGCGCTGCGGCAGCCCGTCATCAAAGCTGTGCATCACGTCCCATGGGCCGTCGCCCACCCCCACGAGTATAATGGAGAGCGCGTAGTTGCTGGCAGGAGGGTGTGGCGATGGCATTGCAGCGTGCAAGGAGGGAGAGTCGGGCGAGAGCGGAGCGGAGACAGCAAGGGGGGAGTGAGGGGGGCAGAGGAAGAAGGGAAGGGAGAGGGAGAGAGGGTGAGTACCTGGAAGTTGTCGAAGGCCCGCGCGGGCAGCAGGTCGTCAAAGCCATGCATCACGTCCCATGGCCCGTCGCCCACCCCCACGAGCACTATGGACAGAGCATAGTTGCTGCAGTGAGTGGGGGAAGGAGGGTGCCGGCAGAGGGGACAAAGGTGTGAGATGGGGCAGCTGGGCGTCACAGCTGTGCCTCACAACACATGGACCATCGCCCACCCCCACGACCACTATGGACACTGCATGATTGCTGGTGAGGAAAGGGGGAACGGGAAGAGGGGGGGAGGGGAGAGGGGGAAGGGGAGAGGGGGAAGGGGAGAGGGGGAAGGGGAGAGGGGGGGAAGGGGAGAGGGGGAAGGGGAGAGGGGGAAGGGGAGAGCGTGGGTAGCGGGAGAGGGGTTGGGCGAAGGACAATAGAGTAAGATGGCGGTAGTGGAGAGAGAAGTGAGTAAAGAGGGGATGAGAGACTTGTGAACGCGGGGACGGGTTCGTGCACTATGATGGGGGGAGGGGAGAGAAAGAGGCCGAAGGGAAATTGGAGAGAAAAAGAAAGAAAAAAGGGTCCATCATCCCACTGAATGCACCCCAACCCCAATGCACCCCAATGCACCCCTAACAAGAGCCTCACCTGGCGGCGACGATGGCGTCCACAGTGGCGCGCCCCTGCTTGCTCAGATCCCGTTTCTATACCCCAATGCACCGCAATGCACCGCGGTGCAACCCTCACCTGGCAGCAACGATGGCGTCCACAGTGGCGCGCTCCTGCTTGCTCAGCTGCCCAGGCGGCACGTCTGCACTGCGCGTCACCTGGGGAGGGGGGATGGGGGCAGGAGGAGGCCATTCGTGCAAAGGGACAGAAGGAGGGAGGGAGGTGAAGGATGAAGGTCAATGAGTGAGCAAACAAGGGAGGATGTGCGGGATCAAAGGAGGTCATGGGGGGCACGAGGGGCCATGGGGGGCACGAGGGGCCATGGGGGGCACGAGGGGCCATGGGGGGCACGAGGGGCACCACACCACACCGCACCTGGCCATCAGTAATGATGAGCAGCACGTGTTAGTCGCCGCCACTCTCACTACCTGCTATCACCGCACTGCACCACACCGCACCTGGCCGTCAGCGATGATGAGCAGCACGTGGTAGTTGCCACCACTCTCCTCCACTATGCGAACTGCTGCCTCTATGGCCGGGGCAAAGGACGTGGGGCCTGGGAGGGGGAGAGAGGGAGAGGGAGCGCGAGCAGGGAGAGAGGGGTAAAGAGATGGCAGGGCTGAAACGTTTTGAACAGACTCACTGCCGAAGCGGCTCACCTCCACTCTGCCTCTGTTGCTGGGGCGAAGGGCTAGACGATAGGGCTGGCAGGGAGAATGTGTGAAAGGAAGAGGGAGGTGAGGAGAGGTGCAAGAGAGGGGTATGGGAGAGATATACGCAAGAATTTCAAAAGCTGATGGAGGAGCACAAGGGAGGGGGCAGCAGCAGCTGCAGCAGCGCACCTGAGAGCTTGACCTGGGGGGCGATGGCACGGTAACGGGCGAGCGTCTCTGCAATGCCGTTGCACGGGCGGTTGTCGGGGTTGAATGAAAACACTGCCTTGTCATGCGTTGTGGCTGGTGGGGGGAGGAAAGGGGGGGCAGGCCGCGTGAGGAGAGGGGAGTGAGCGGAGAGCGAGACCTTGAGGTGCGGGAATGAATGAGGTTGTTCTCGTCAAAGGGCGCGAGCGAGCGTCTCCGCAACGATCTGAATGTGAGACGCTCGCTCGAGCCCTTTGACACCCATGCTCGAGCGTCTCAGAACCAATCTAATATCACTGCCAAAAGGAGAGGAACGGAGGAAGGGAGCCCACTGACCATCGCCAAAGCCGAAGGCGGGGATGAGGTTGTCCTCATCAAAGGGCTCGAGCGTCTCTCCAATGATCTGAATGGCCTGCTCGTACGGGTTCATGTGTGGGCCTATTGCGTGTAGACACCGCCCACCGAATGTGTGCTTGCCTGCAGGATGGAAACGAAATGGGCGCGTGTTGGTGAGTGCGGAACGAGCGCGTGAGGTCAGGGACGAGGGGAGTGGAGCAACGAAACGAAATCTGGGTGGTTGAAAGGGGAAACCTGACCTGTCCATTCGTTGCTCTTGGTGAAATCAACGGCTACGATGAGATTGCTGGACTCCAGCCCCACCTCGCGCAGCTTCTCCTGCACCTGCGGGCACACGAGCACACGCGCACATGAGAAGACAGGAGAGTGAGGCAGGAATGAAGGCAAGCGCGCAGAGAGGCGCGTGAGGCAGGCAGGCAGGCAGGCAGGCAGGCGGGCAGGCAGGCAGGCAGGCAGGCAGGCAGGCAGGCGGGCAGGCAGGCAGGCAGGCAGGCAGGCGGGCGGGTGGGCGGGCGGGCGGGTGGGCCAGCAGGCAGAAGCACAGCCACAGATGCGGCAACATGTGCATCCAGCATTTGCCACCCGCGTGGCGCATGCAGCACGCGCTACTCTCATCCGTGCAACCGCCATCCCCCTCCCTTCCCCATCTGCTGTATGTCCCCCCTTCCTTCCCCCTCCTCTCCCCTGCACTCTGCACATCATCATCTCCCCTCTCCCCCTTACTCCCCTTAACCTTTCCCCCCTACCTGCTGTACGTTCTGAAACGAGTCTGGAATGCATCCATATTTCTGCATATAGAATCCTCAAAAGCAAGCCCGCCTCCCCTCTCTCGTTCTTCCCCCCTTACCAACTCCTTACCTGCTGTATGTTCTGAAACGAGTCCGGAATAAACCCGTACTTCTGCTGGAACGACATCTGCGCCCTCCCCCCGCCGCCGCCCCCCGCTGCCCCGCCATATGCCCCCGCCTGCCCATACCCCCCCGGCGCTCCGCCGTAGCCCGCGGGCGGCGGCGCAGCTGGCGCGTAGCCGCCCTGCGCATACCCCGCGGGTGGGGGAGGGTATCCGGGCTGGCCGGCCGGCGGCGGGTGTGGCTGCTGCGGCTGCTGCTTGCCCTTTTTGAAAAAGCCGAACATGGGGACCGCGCTGGGGTTGACTTGAATGGGAGAGGGAGAGAGAGGGGTTGGTGTTGGCGGTACGGAGGAGGACGAAAGAGCGCGAAACGAGAGCGCGAAGAAGAAAGAGGAAGGCGACGCGAACGGATCGAACGCTAGGCGATATCAAGCTAGTAGGTAAGGGGATCAGTGTAAGTTGCAATAGATTTCGATTCGTGCGAGTGGCAAACGACAGGAGGTGGCGGCAGGTTTGTACTCGTGGCGAGGAGAGGCGGTTTCGACGCGCGCTCTTGGCGTCTCAACCTCGCGACGAGCGGCGCAAACGAAAACGACACGGATCGGCCGATGAAGGAAATGCGCTGCAGGCGCGTTAGACGCGTTGATGAGCTCCGATGAATGGGCAGGTGACAGTCTTCATTCTCACGTTACTGGGATGGTGCTCGCGGCTTCGCCTTGGGAGAGGGCCAGTGGTTTCGGACGAGGTGCATGTGGGCCAGCGTGGATTGGTTTGAAAATGCGGTGCTGCGGAGTGCTCTTCTGTGAAAACTTCGATATAGAGTCGAAGGACAAGTTATTTTTTTTTATAGATTGATAGTGTATACCGATACAGGCAAGCATATACCATCAAACGGTCGTAACCGTGCATGAGGGACAGCAGCCTATCTACTGTTCCAGGTGAAAACTGCCTAGGGCGAGCTGTTGCATGCCCTTTGCGTGGACCATAACGCAGCGAAAGCAGGCTTCCATGTCCAGCTCCTGCCGTCCATCTTGATCTTGCTCAGCATTTTCTGCTCCTCCACAAAATTTTCCCGGAGCCGCTTCTTCCGTGATGCCCCCATTTTCTGCATGTATATCTTCGCGTGTAGCCTGAAAGCAGCCTCCGCCTTCCACAGTACACGCTTGGCCCGGAATTTTTGCCCCCGAAAAACTGCATCACATCTCTCCAGCCAGACTTGGTGGAGGACCACCGACGTGAGGGTCAGCTCTGGAAAAGCTGACCTGGTACCCGTTTTTCGGAACAGAATATCTCCCAGCGAGGCGGTTGGGCGGCAGCATGCGTAAAGCACGTCGAAGTGCCGAGGCCACTTCTTGTATCCTGGGGCACAGGATAAGGCAGCGTTCCAACGTCTCCTGTTCCCCACAGTAAGGGCATGCGGGCTTGCTGCTGAGGAAAGCCAATCTTTCCCCCACCTGCAGATTCAAGCCGTGGATGCGGATGAGGACATCCATTGGACGGTTGGGAACAGCCAAGGAGTCCCGAGTCACCACCACCCGTTTTCAGTCGATGTGGTGCCCCCACCGCACACCCCACTTCTGCTGCTTGTATGATTGGTCGGACGCCATCCATCCTTCATCCGTCTCATGGATACCACCCGCCCTCCTTCCACGATTGGAACCCGCAGAGGAGAGCCAGCCGAGCATGGAGGTGCAGTAGAGAAACCCCAAAGTTTTTGCCAGTGAGACGGGGACGCTAGCAGCGCTTTCATCGCTAACTTGGCTGGCCCGTTACCACCCAGCTCCTGCTTTAGAACCGCCATGGATTTTACCACCGCAACTCCGTCATCCTCCCCATTCACCAGATCACCGATACGAGTGTGCTTCAGATTCTGGGCTTCTTTCTGCCCCCCAACCGGGTTGGTGCCGTTGAGTAAGATGTCTTTATTGAAGCAAAGCCTCTCCTGTAGAACCTCCTCCCTGCTCCCCACCAGGTTCATGATCGAGAAAGGCGACCGCGTGAAGCTCTCCGCCGTCTGCTTCCATCGTAAATTGCCGTTGCCCCAGTGCTTGAGCAATTTTTCATGCGCAGTGAAGGAGTCCACTCCCATCGGAAGCTTCGCCGCACGCTCCATCAGGTCCCTTTTGAGCAGGTTCTGTTCCGTGATGAACAGACCGACTCTCCTTGCCGCCAAGCATGTAATGAGGATTTCCGGGTCTCTGACCCCGATCCCACCGTCCAGCCTCGGGGTGTAAAGCAGCTCCCTACTCCAGAGGATAATAATTTTTGCCGTTGCAACCCTGTTTCCTGATGTGAAGCTGTGCAGTAGATGTCAGTGATAACGGACTGGAATGATGAACTAGAAAGGATTGTGAGTACAAATATGAAACCCTAATGTGGTGACCCCCCTATAGGCTAACCCACTACAGCCTACACAAACACAACATATATAATGTTTGACACACCCCCATAGGCAAAGTGGGGGAGACCTAGGGGTCACAAGACCAGTCAAGGCAACAACAAGCTCAGGGTGGATCTCAAGGATACCACACAAATTCCGAGCACAAGCTAGTGGTCACAAGACCAGTTCACATGCAGGTTTATAACAGAGCATGGGATACAGTGATCACAACCTAGCAAGAGTAAACATGCAGGTAGATATATATAGTGATCACAGTACAAGCAAGGTCAAGAGGTAAGTAAGTGAGGTCCAGTAGGCACAAGGCCTAGCAGAGTGCAGAAGCGCTGATGGTCACAAGGCGGAAGCGCCTTGGTGTAGACGCTTGACAGTAGACGCATGATTTCCAACCAGATATTTGCCGGCGGCGGGTAAATTTGCGCTTGAAACGCCAGAATTGGCGTGATGTAATGGTTAACCACTGTTGCTCTTGCTGTGATTGTCAGGTATTTTAACTGCCATTTGGTCAGCTTCTCCGATACACGGCTCCACGTCTTCTCCCAGGTTGGCAGACCGTTGCCGGACGGCGTCACCCATACCCCCAGTAACCGTTCTGCTTCATCCGCACCGGCCCATTTGAAGCCACTGGCTCCGCCATCAGTCGCTCCAATGTTATCCCCCAGAGGTAAGACCACTGATTTCGACTTGTTCGTCGCCAATCCCGACGCCTTCTCAAAACGATCCAGTAATTCCTCCGCCTGACTGATCTGCTCCCTTCCTTGCAGGACTAAAGTCGTATCATCCGCATATCCGAGGTACCCGAGCCGGTGTCCTTCCTTCTCAAGACCAAGCCCCCGCCTCTCCACTTCTTGAGCCAACGGCTCCACCGCGCACAGAAACAGGTATGGCGCCAGGGGGCAGCCTTGCCGGACCCCAGAAACCACGTCCACTCCGTCTCCGAGCCAGCCGTTAATAAGAAGCTTTGTCGTCGTTCCCTCGTGCAGGCCCTTTACCCAACCGATAAGCCGCTCTGGGAAGCCCATCTTCTCCAGCACGCTGAAGCGAAAATCCCTCGAGACTGAGTCAAACGCTTTCTGGAAGTCAACCAGAAGCAGGTACCAATCCTCCTTTCCGTTTCTCGCGCCTTTGATGATATCCGCCACCAGCGCGACCGCATCCGATAGACGCCGACCAGGAATAAAGCCGTACTGCTCCGGTGAGATAACCATGTGCAACACAGATTTCATACGATCTGCTACCACCCGCGCCAGTACTTTGTGGGTGAAATTCAGCAGAGTGATTGGGCGGTAATTATTAAGCTGCTCCTTGTCTCCCTTCTTGTGCAGCAAAATCGTCACCGCTTCCTTCACTTCGGCCGGCAGAGAGGCGCTGCTCTCGAAGCTTTTCGCCATTACCATGAAACTTTCCCCCAGCAGGTCCCAGTGTGCCTCAAACAGCTCCTTCGGCAGACCGTCACTGCCAGGTGACTTATTTCTCGCCATTGACGCAAATGCTTTCTTCACCTCCTGTTCCGTCCATTCTGCTGTCAATGTTTCAGCCACCCTTTCGTCCACCCGGCGAGCTGGGTTAAAACTCCACTCTGCGCCTTTGACACGACGATCAGCTCCGAAGATATTCCTGAAGTAGCCCGACGCCGCCTCCAGGATTTCTTTGGAACCGGTAATCGACACCGCGCCGTCCTTCAACTCCGAGATTCGAGTGCGAACCTTCCGCGCCTGCACCTTCGCCGAGAGATGCTTTGAGGCGATCTCTCCTGTCATCTCCGCCGTGGAGCCCGCCTGAAGGTGCAGCCGCTCCTTCCTGGACGCCTGATACACTTTCAGCTGACCCTCCTTCACTTTCAACAACTCCTTCGTTCTGGTGCAGAGGGGATCTCCCATCAGCTTCTGCGTCAGAATCGCCACCGCGTTGGTCAGGTGAGCTAACCGTCGCTCGGACCCTCTTGCTTTCCTCCCTTGCATAAGCTCTGAGCCCAGCACTCAGTCTAGCCACCAGCAGTTCGAAGCTGCTACCGTCATTAACCGGAGTCGTCCGTACCGTCGCCTCAATTAATTTCTGCACCCCTGGCCTGTTCGCCATTGAAGCGTGTAACCTCCACAACCCTGGCCCTGTGCAGGCCTTCTCGTCCAACCGGAAAGCAGTTAGTACTGCGAAGCCATGGTCCGCTACGGGTTCGTCAGGCTTAACGTGAGCTGCAACCGTCAGGTAAGGTAGAAGAGACTGTGAAACTAAAGCGCGGTCTATACGCGTGCTGGCCCGTTTTGACTTGGAGAAAAAGGTGTACTCTCTGCGGCCCGGATGAAGGATGCGGAAAGCGTAAGAGAGCTGGAAAGTCTTGCATCTCTGAAATAGCCTCTCATTCTCATTCGATGCTCCCTTGTCTGATGACTTATCTAACTTGCAGTTTTCTATGTGGTTAAGGTCACCTATAATCAGCAGATGGTCTGTCGCCGGAATCTGATCTATCAGAGGTCCAAAGGAGTCACGGAGGAAGACGGATCTGGACTGTGGACTAGCAGGGAAGTACACCGCGAGCAGTGTAAGATCTGGACCGAGGCCTCTGACTGTGGTCTTAACTATTCTACCTGACGGGTGAGACAGTGTGTTATGGAAGGTAATGGAAGGGTGGTTACTAAGGACAGCAACTCCACCCGCTCTCGATCTAGGAGCTGTCGCTAAAACTGTGTGAGTCGAGAGGCTTTTCCACTGTGGGTGATCTACGGCTAACCTAGTGTCAACTAGGACTGCTATGTCACCTGCCTGGCTGAGCCAGCTGTTAACTCGGCTCTGTTTCGCTACATCTGAGAGGCCGTTGACGTTGAGGCTCGTTATGGTGAGGTGGTTTTTCTTAATCATGATTCCACTGTCTTGTAGCCCCTGATCATCCACAGGCTAATAAAGGAAACAACACAAGCAACGCTGACACCCAGGCTCCAGATTGCCGCCATCTCCAACTTCCTGTCAGAGGTATCTACACTCCGTACTCCTTCCGAATAGCGTTGAGGGACATCTTCTCGAGGGACTGCAATGTGTTTTGGTCGACTGCATCATTCTTGTCCACGTACTGTATTATGTCGAAGAAATTGCCGATGATGATGATGATCTCCGCACTTACCGCCTTACGGCGGCCATGGATCTTACCGAGCAAGCTGTTACTAGCCTCTTTGTTTCGATTCTTCACGCGGCCATTTGACATTAAGCAATGCTTCGCCTATGGCTACGACAATGGACAACCAGTCGTTTTTGCTGACCTTGGTGTTTCCGGCTATCAGGCAGCGGATCTTAATGTTCGCTTAGCATCCTCGAGATTGTGGTCTACGCTTGTTCCTAACCATGCAGTCTATATTTCTTCAAGCTTAAACAACAATGCCTACAATCTACTTATTGAGAATGACGTTCTCAAGAGTTCAGCATCGAGAATGTCTTCTACGCTTTCTCATTCTAAGGAGCCAGACAAGTTCAGAAGACTATATAACCAGGCCGTGCTCAGTCATCAGGCAGATCAAGCATACACAGCTGCCATTGGTGTTTATCACCCAGTTTTTATCAGGCTCGCTGCTCTGCCAGTTTTTTATCATCATTGCACGATGTCGCACACGGCTGACTTCCCGTCCTTGCCGAAGGGTCCGCGTTCCAAGGCTGCTGATATTGCTGCTCCTCCTGTTCATCCTGCGGTCAACTGGCAAGAGTCTGTTAATGGCGGCAATGCTGTGTCTGCTGTCAACAATGTCACGGCTGACAATGCTGCAAAAAATGCTTCGGTTACCGCTGGTACATCGCATGATCAGGCTGCGTCGTCAGCGTTACTCACGGATGCTGACAGTTTCATCGACGAAGGCTCTGACGACGAGTTGGAGCTAGATCTGAGCACTGAAGTTGCTGCAACCCTGCGCTCCACTGCTGTTCTGCTGATTCCGTTTATTCTGCATCTGGAAATTGCCTGTGTGCTGGATGCTCTAAAGATGCTGATAAAACGTGGTTGGTGCACAGAACTTTCGGACGATGTGTACACAGAGGTGAAGTTTCAGGAGCTCCCGACAATTTACATCGCAAAGCTGCGATACTGCCGCCTTCAGGCTTCTTTCCTGCTTGCCATGGATGCGGAAACAGTGAGGAGGAAGGAGGTGGTTTATCAGGCACTTAATGGCAAGCTGTTCAAATTGCACTGGCTGCATACTGTCAACCCTACCTTCTCGCGGGAGAAAGCTCAGAACCCGCAAGCCATCGAAGTCATTGTCAAGGGAGTTTCGGCGGAGGTTGAGCTGTCTTCGATCCGGAACCGCCTGGCTGTTTTCAACATTGAGAGCCGTGGGAAGCCGGCTTTCCAGCGTTGCACCTGCCTTCACCGGGTTCTTCATCCTGTTACGGGTGTGGATACGGATGTGGTGAAGGGCTTGCTTTACGCTCACCTTGAGGATCTTCACCGCTGGATTCATGCGATCCCTGACCCAGCAGACCGCGAGAAGAAACTGCTCGTCCACTATCCTTCGCTCTCCTGCTCGCTTTGTGGGGGTCAACATTATGATAATTATCATAATGTTTTCACCACTGAGCAGCAGAATAACGTAGGAAAGTTGAACTTGTCTTTGGGAAAGGCACACAGGCTTCACGGTAATGGCTGCTCAAGGTTGACAGTCAACACTTTGGTCTCCCCACCTCTTTTTCAGCTTCTCCATCTTACCGCTTTTACTGACCTCTCTTGTGATACTTGCAGCTGCTTCCCTGAAAGCCTCCGCGTTCATCCTTCCCTTGCTCCGAGACCCTGCCTTAGCACTGATCTCAATCGGCAGCAATAGGGAAGAGTGGCTGTGTACGCAAGAGGGTTGCGGGAAGGCTCACGGCAAGAGCTTCATGTCGGCTGCAGCTCACATCGCCACTGCTGCTCACATGCTTCACCTGGAGGAGGCCGGTGCTGCCACGAAGGACAAGTTATACACATTCGAAGAATAAACTCCAAATTATTTATTTCATACTTGCCTATGGATTACACCAACTACAGCACCCTACTTGTTCTTACAATACCCAGTCAAAGGGACTACAAGCCAACTCAGAACTAATCAACTTCACGAAAAAAACTTATATCTGTTCCTTTTATTTTCCTCATGGGCTGCCCCTCTGCAGTGCATCCCCTCGTGTGCACCACCAACTTCATTTCCACTGTGCTCCCATCCCATCCCTTCCCATCCATCGTGCTGCAAACAAGCAGCACACACACCACCAGGGTGATAAAAATGCGGGTGGTAAATTACGAAAGAAATGGATTGCACCTCACACACCCAAACCACGGCGAGCCATTGTCATGCACAGCACTCTACTCCAACTCACTACAACCCTTGGTGGTGCAAATGAGCGCCACACCATCAGCCCAGTGTGTCTTAGTTGTCAAATGTTGTAGTCTTAGTTATGTGTGTCATAAGGGGTACAACTCTTTGGGTTAGGTTTATGTACCCCAACCAACATTGTCAATGCAACACTTTCGATTCTGACATGGTATCACCTAGGTTAGGATCCCGTGGGATCCCGTTCCTCTCGATCACGTCCGTAGCGCCCGAGCCTGTCCCATACCCCAGTGAGCGTCTCGCCCGTACTGTCCCTTGGAGCCTCTCACGCTCGTCTCTGTCGTGCCCTAGAGCCTACTGCGCCACCCGTCCCATACCTCCCGTCCCGCTCGTCTGTCGCGCCCGTCCCGAGCGTCCTGTTCCCCCCCCCCCCCCCCCCCCCCCCCCCCCCCCCCCCCCCCCCCCCCCCCCCCCCCCCCCCCCCCCCCGCCCTGCCCGTCCGTCGCGCCCCGTGCGCTTTGCCCGTCCGTCGCGCCCCCGCTGCGCCCTGCCCGTCCGTCGCGCCCCGTGCGCCCTGCCCGTCCGTCGCGCCCCCGCTGCGCTCTGCCCGTCCGTCGCGCCCGTGCGCCCTGCCGTCTGTCGCGCCCCCGCTGCGCCCTGCCCGTCCGTCGCGCCCCGTGCGCCCTGCCCGTCTGTCGCGCCCCCGCTGCGCCCTGCCCGTCTGTCGCGCCCCGTGCGCCCTACCCGTCAGTCGCGCCCCCGCCGCGCACCTGCCGCCCGTCGCGGCCCCGCTGCGCCCTGCCGGTCCGTCGCGCCCCGTGCGCCCTGCCCGTCGTCGCGCCCCCGCTGCGCCCTGCCCTGCCGTCGCGCCCCGTGCACCTTGCCCTTCTGTCACGCCCCCGCTGCGCTCTGTCTTTCCGTCGCGCCCCTACTGAGCCCTCTCCGTCCGCCGCGCCCCGTGCGCCCTACCTATCACGTTTAGGGTTTCGGCGATTTCGTTCCCCTACTCTTCGCCTCCGCAATGGCGACCCCTAGGGTCCTGCGCTTTGACGCCGAGGGTCAGCCGCTCGAGTTTCCGGTCTGGCTCCTGCGCGCACATCGCCTTTTAGAGAGTCAGGTTCAGGCAGGCGAGTCTTTGTGGGCGCACGCTTCTGGTGACCTTCCTGCGCTCGCAGACCCTACGCCTTTAGGCACTGCCCTAACGACGCAGCCAGAGACCGCTATGCCCGCCAGCGTGCTAACCTGACGGCGTGGACGCCGCGTGATGCTGCTGCCTGCATCGCCCTTAGCAGCCTCCTCCCTGAGTCTGAGGAGGCCCACTTCACTCAGGTTCGCACTGCTAGTGAGTTCCTGACTGCGATTAAGGCCCGCTACGCTACTCCCACCACTGTCTCTCTTGGTCGACTGTTCCTACCGTTCTTGTTTCCCTGACCTCGCCTCGTTTGAGCGCTCTGCTGACTTGATCGCTCACCTGCGCTCGCTCGACTCTAGCTTCCACGCTGCCTGCACTGACGCACAGCTTGCACTGCTCCCTCCCCCTATGGCGATTACTATCTATTTCATCGCCACTAGCCTCCCTGACCGCCTTGCCTCAGTTTGTGACGCGCTTCTTTTGAAGCACTCTAGTGAGCTCACTATCGACGTCCTTGCGTCTGCGCTCAAGGATGTCGAGAGCAACCTCC